AAGAAGGGAGATCAGGAGGATGTTTTAGGCTGAACAGCGTTAACTCAAGAAGGACACAAGGCAACTAATCAGGAACTAAATCTCAAGTGCTGAACCTTTGAAATTGGAGCCCCTCTTTCTATGTTTATTCTCCATGCCCATCCATGGACATTTGTTAAGCCACGAATGTTAGCCTCTAGTATGTTCTCATACAGAATGAAAACAGCCAGTAAAAGCAAGATGGGAAATGATTATGGACAAAATATAGTTTTAGAATGATGCATAAATTATTTTTATGACTAATTCAAGAACCCAGCTGCCTAAAAATACAGAAGCTGTTCCAGACTAGTTTATTTGACTGAAATCCTAAAGAGAAGGAAGCCCAACTGGTCTGACCTGTATATGTAACTCAACACATTCTTACCTTTCCTAAATGATATCTGATTTGGAACTGAGGTGACTGACTTGGCTCCCTAGGAAAGCAGCCTGTGTGGGTTCGCCCTCTTCTTCCTGGATGGCAGATCCCTGGGCTCAGAGAATGCAGCCTAGGACAAAAGTCTAACCCTCTCTGAGCCTGCCTGTCAATGTCTCTTTTCTGTGCCTGGCTGGCCCCCAGGTCATTCTCCATGTGCATTTTGTCTGCTCTGCAGTTTGCCTCCCATTGTCAATGGACTCAGCAGTCCTCAGGAAGAGACAGCGGATGTGGATGCACTGCAAGCCAAGCACACAGATTAAAACTTTGCATGAGTGGCCTCTTGTTCATTCATTCATACTGAATGACCAAAGTTCCTGATAACAGGAAACAAAAGATCAGCAGAGGAAGTAGAGATGCAATGCGAAGTGCAGAAGGTTTCTGCACCCACATGCACGCTTTTCCTTCCACATTACAGCTAAAACCATGTTCCACTGTTGCTTTTATTACATAACTGTCAGCTATGCTAACAGCAATAATAAGTAATAGTTCTGATTTACACAAGTACATGAACATACATTGCATTCCTCAAGTTTAATTTTCTTCCCAATGTTTTCCTAGAAATGCAGGTTCTACTTTTTTCCGATCAACTGAGTGTTGATTCACTGGTTGCAACATTGGTTGACCAACCAATTTGTTGCCCAAGCCTGATGTTATGGGCTGGGAAAGAATTGTTGGGCCAAAGTTACCCAGACTAGACTTTCATGTCACATCTCAAATTCAGAATTATTTGAACATTTCAAATTTGAACACTCCTAGTCAGGAACAATTTTTGATCTCCCACAAAAAATTTTTCCAGATAATAAACAAATATCGACTCATTAGCATGCTACTCCGATGTAAGACTTTTATAGGTCATAGCAGACAATAATGAAGTTCAAGGTAATCCATATAGCATCCTCCCCTTCAATTTTTCCCCAAAATAATAACCTTGTGAAATAGATTGGATCGAGAGATAGGGACTGGCTTCAACTTCAATGGCTAAGGGTTAGAATTAGTTAGTAGCTCATTTATTTAGTTAGAAAATCGATGACTTGCTTTTCATACAGGAAGACAAGGTAGTACCACCTCACTTTCTCCTCCTATTTTTCCATAACAATTGTTGAGATGAGGATTGGGCTGAGAATACATTAGAACTTGGTCCTTACATTGCCAATCCAATATCTATCTATCTATCTATCTATTTTACTAACTGGCTCACTTGTCTTGGGCATGTAGTCAGCTCAGATTCTGAAAAAAAGTGTCTTGGTCTTACTCATGGAAGGATATGAGTAGGAGAAAAAAAATGATGACAAGTTTGAGAGAGAAAGAGAGGATCTAATTCACTTTTGGTTCTATAATATCTTTTCCCCATTTTCAACTACATTCAACCAGTATACTCCAAGGTTTACATATAAGCTTCCAACAATAGTATTTGGAGTCACATTTTCCTTAATCATGAATTAATATGCTGATCTTGAACTATCTCTTAATTGGAATAACTAAGAGAAGTGTAGTGAACCTTTCAATGTTTCTGAATAATTTATGAACACATTGCCACTTGGTGTCTCAGGCTATTTCTCTCCATATCAATCAACAGCTACTGTCAAATCACACTTGCATATATTGTAAGAGGCAATTCTCACATTTTAAAAGTATAAGTAATTTGAGCCAATTATTCCAAACAATAATCCTTTCCCACTTAATTTACTTTAAGATGACCTTAGATGACCATCTGTACTTTTAAATATCTTCTCTCTATTCAACATACTCTCAATATTGAATAGATATAGGATGCAAATGCTACAAATGTCAGGGAAAACATATACAAAAGATAAAACTCATCACTATACAAAACTCATATAACCTAAATCATTGGATAATATAAAATTTTGGTTAGAATATTTCACACAAGCAAACCTTCAGACTTACTTTCTTTCCATTGAAAATTAAGCTTTCTTAAGTCTTCAAAAGCTCCCTCTTGATTGTTTTAAGAGTACATAAATATGATTTCTTAGTTGTTTCTACTACTGCAAAACTTTTTACTGATGAATGAAAAAATACTCCCTGGCCCAAATGGGAATTACGATATGTTTTAATCAGATGCATTAAAACTCTTAAAATTGCAAGTTTCCACAGGTTGTCCTTGCTTAACAACTGGTCACTTCATGATCAAAGCTACAACAGGCCTCCAAAATGTACTTAAAACCTAGTTCCAGAGTTCCAATAGCTCCTGCCCTGTGGTCACATGACTACATTTTGGGCACTTGGAAACCAGTTTACTTTTAAGGTAGATTGCAGCATTCCAGAGTTATGTAACTGTGATTTATAATGGTTTTTGTGAATTTCCAGCCTTTGGGGCCAGTTTTCAGCAAACAATACTCATAGGAATGCATGGACTCACTTTACAACTTCTGTGTTTGCTTGAAAACAGTCATAAAGTCTTAAAAGTGGTTCAGTTATGTGGATGCCTCAACTTATGACCACTTGTCATGAATTGTAAGTAAAGGGCTATCTGTATGTGGTATCCATTCTACAGTATTTTATAATCATTATTGCTTGCAAGCTTTGCCCTTGACAACTTATTGTCAGTACACTAGAGCTCTTTAGACTCATTAACCTGCCTTATACTCATGAGTCTAACCATTACCATTATATAGATGGAGAACAAACTTTTCTATACTAGCTCGCTTGCCTGCTTTGGGACGTCAGATGAATTGAAAAAAAAGTAACCAGGAAAAAGATTGAGAATTTCCATAGATGAATAGCAGACCTCCTACTAAAGAGTTAATACTGACAGATGATCAGAGATGCTAATTCTCAATACCTACCCTGTCTGGTTTACGTTTATCAAATAGCTGCAGTATATTCATGTAAATTAATGAAATGACAGCATAAATGGATTGAATGCATTAATCAATAAACAAATGGTAAAACTAAAAGGTAAAAATCAGATAATAGATGTAACAACTCGTGGTCAATCTCAGCTCTTGGCTGGAAGCAAGAAAAGAGTCATTTATGTTTAATGCACAATGGATAGAGCCCAACAACTGGAGACTCAGTGACATTTACACACGTGCAACAATTACATGAAGAAAAACAGTCCAGTTTCTTGAAAAGTTTACAGCTTCTCACTACCTTCAAACTTAATAAAAACCAAATTAAAACACAGAAAATAATACCCTACTGAATGCATTATGCAAATTAAAAGATATACAGGTTTTCAAAATTTATATAATGGTCACAGGTTGAAAAAGTCAGTTTTTACCTAGATAATAAGTTAGGTTGAACCAGGAACAATTCTAACAAATACAGAAAATTGCACAATGTACATCCAAATCTTTACTCAGTTATAAAACTCCTTGACTCATTTTGAGCTAGTAATTGTTCAAAGCTACTTCCTAGGGACCTAGGAAACAATAAATGAGATATATTCCCATTCCATATCTAATAATTGTCCATGGTGCCCTTGAAAGAAAGAATAACATGAAATACCCAGATAAATATACATGTAATATTAAGGGTAAGATAAAACTTCATGTTTGTGAAAGACTTGTAACCACTTTTCCCAAATTCAAGGCCAACTATAGCCACACAAAACAATCTGACATTCTTAAAACAGAGCACAACCTTTATCAGTTCAAGGAACCAATAGGTTTCCGTAACTCCCCTTTACGTCATTGCTATGTTAAGTATTCCCATGTTATAGATCATGGAAACCAAGGCTATGAGCTATCATTTATTTCTTGCCTACTATCAGACTCCTTGAAAACCATGCAAATCAGCAGCTTGCCCATCTGTACGCACAAAGTTGTCTTGATTTCCCTCCCTCCCCCATTCAGGAATCCACTCTTTTCCTAATGAGTGATTTTATCTTGTGTTTTGCCCTCTTTTCCTACTAAGTAGCTTATAAAAATCAAAATGCAGCAATCGTTTAACAAGCAAACACAAAAGCAACCATCACTACAATAAATAAAAGCAATGGAAAGACTGAATCCTTGCTTTAAAGATGCTACATTTGATCATCCTTAGCATTAGTCAGTAGTTTACAAATAAACAAAAGAGAGTCAGGTGTTTACATATATGCTCCGGGGAAATTATTCAATGTTTCTGAGAAGGGCACAGGCACATCTCAGCTCTCATTCCTAAAATGAAGGAGCCAGATCTCAAGCTCGGCTGAAAGTTGAGTTGTTGACCACCAATTCCTAGCTCAATTTTCAGAACCATAAATTTTACAGTGATTATATATTAGTGAGAAAATATGAGCCACACATATGAAAGTCATCTCTCTAATTATTATCCAAATCTTAAATATCAATCATAGTACTGAGAAGAATGTAGAAGCCTGGGGAGGAGGGGGTCAGATCAATAATGCATTCTACCAGGATCCATAACTTCTATAAAGTAAATAATTTACCTGGCTATTTTTGGTCATTCTGCTAATTAATAGAACATAAAACTACATTACAATTATTCCTATTTTGCAGATGAAAAAAGCAAGGCTCAGAAGGAAATGATTTGCTCAAAGTTTACAGACATCCTAAAAGACAGGGCAACGTTCCCCTCTCACCGTGAGCTTCCTGGCCCTCCTGTGCCGTGCCTGGAATTTCTGCCAGGCCATCATTGCTCCAGCACGCCGCCATCGTCTCTCCCAACATTCAGCATCGTTGTTCCGCAAACTTGTCAGCCAGATGCAACGGGGTTCCGGCAAACTACAATCTACTCCAACAGCTTGCTCAAAATGCCATCCATTCCCTGTTCGTGCCACACTCCATACTGCTTTGCTTACCACTGAAATGCCCCGTTGTGATGAGGCAGGAAAGTATGAAGATCTCTGTTGCCTGCCACTACAGGGAGCTGGATCTCCCCGGCTTCTACCTTCTTCTACCATTCCACTCTGAAGCAAAGAAAATTTCTGATCCAGAAGCAACAATATCAAAAGGGACAGAACCAGCTGATCAGAGCAAACTTGGATGTTTCAATAGCTTTTTCCCCCAAAGCCAGGTTGTTCTAGTTTCATTGAGATTCTCTGGTCAGTAAAACACAGCTTTCTCCCTTACTGTTCTGAGCTTCAGCGTGTTTGCTCATTTGTTTCTCTTCTCTCCTATTCAAAAAGTTGTTCTCGCTGTCTCAAGTCTTTTGTCTTGCATATCAAACGTTGATTTCCAAGTCCAGGCACGCCAGATATCTGTAGGCACATACACTCAAGTGAACATGTCAACTGGCCTTGGAATAACACGTTCCCCTTCCTAGAGAAGGTGGAAACAGAGAGGGAAAAGCCCCTAGGGCTGCATGCACAAAGCTAATTGTAAGGGGCGAAGTGGAAGAGGAGGAGGAGGAGGCGTCAGCAGCAATAGCATAGCAAAATCTACCCGATGAGAATGAGATGGATGCAAATCAGAGAGACTGGGTTGGGACTTGACAGCTAGGCAGTCAGAAAGAGAATAGAGCTTTACTCCTTCACACAGACAGTCCTGCAGCTGCTCTGAACTATCAGACCATCTCTGCCCCACCCCACCTCTCAGTGACCCAGCCCACTCCAGCTGACACCATCTCAGCACTCAGGCTGAGCTGGGCTACTGGGGGGGGGGGAGGGAAAGAGTTAAGTGCATTTTGCTACGGTTACACTCTCTTTAATCCCCTGCATTTCTCCCAAATAACAGAATGTACACACAGTTTACTTTCTTCTTAAACTTATTTGAAAAGAATTAAAAAGGACCTAATTTTATTTTGGTCAAAAAATTCTGCAGTGTGAACATCGGGGACACTCAAGGTAGGGTCCTTATTTAATAAGCAATCTTGGATCATACATGACCCATGCTAAACATAAAGATTCCTAAAAAGAACTCCACAGAAAGAAGGAACTGTTGAATTAGAATATTTCAGACACCACATTATATGATGGATTTTATCTTTATTCACATGATGTGATCAGAAAAGTTTTGACTTCTTCCTTATGATTATCTGATATATCAAACTATTTAGATCAGGATGAGGCAAGCCTGGCCAGAGAATTTTGGGAGTTAAAGTTCATGCATCTCAAAGATTGCCAATATTGAGAAACACTGATCTAGATATCTAGGAATTCAGCTTGTATATTTGGTCCTGGTTGACTATAAACTTACTCAAGATAAGCTGCTTTCATCACCCGTTTAATATAAAGAACAGTGAGAGTCTTCTAAAACATGTCTTACTTCAAAGAGGATATGATATGGATCTTAGATCCTATTAAAACCAGAAAATATTCAGAATTTGAACCAACTATTAATGTAAAATCCAGAACATGTAATTATTCAATTACATGCTCTGGATTTAACATGTACATGTAAAAGTATATGGATGAATGTTTCTGCCTAATAATACGATCCCGCTTTGAAGATAATTCTTTTTAGAAGTTATAATGTGTTGTAACACTTTGTCTTGTACACAATCTTTTTTCTTTCCAGATCTTTTTCACTTATCCTACTATTCTATCTACTTTTCATCCTCTCTTTCTCAAGTAACATTCCATTCATTCAATTCTAATTCTACCCCACTTTCCACATACATACCAAGAAAATGTTGAAATTAAATGGAAATTAATTTTAGCTATGGCAAGAGTGAAGCAAAGGATATTCCCAAGTATGCATAAAACAGAGCCCCCCCCCTCCAATAGTAAGGAAGTTGCTTCTGTATTTTGGGAGAAGGTGATAATGGATGTTACAAAAAGTATGGGGAATTTTGGAAACAAAATGGTGGGGACAATTTTGGTAGAACTGTACTTAGACATCCCTCTCTGCTCTCTCACTTCTCATATTTCAACAAACTCACCAGAAAAAAGTACTTAATGTGGTCTATATGGTCAAGTCAATACAGAGTCAAAGACAGACTTATTTGTATTAGTTGCACTGGTGGAGAGCATGGGAGAATAGTTGGAGATTCATGATATATCCCCACAAGAATTCAGGGAGTTACTATCCCAATCAATGAGCTATGGTGTCATAGATAGCATATAGTGTTCATACTCCATTGGCATAACCAGTTTAGAAAGCAATAGATGAATCACACAAACCAGAAGTTATTCATAAGTATGCAAAGGAGGCATTTAAATATTACTGTGGGTTGACTGGGGATTTAGCTGTGTTTTTTTTCCAGCAACTGCATTGCTGTAACATCCACATCAGCACTTCTATTGCAAGTATGGAATCCCCCCACCCACAATAACTTGTGGTATCTCAAGTTCAATCATCTTCAGGATTATCCTAAGATCTCTCTACTTTGGCTCCTATAAGTGAGAGAAACCTAGGAACTCTCTTGGATCTGTTTGCTTCAGAATTTTTGTGGCTTATTTTAAGTAACTAATAATTTCCAGCCAGTATGAGGTTACTTGAAATCTTCATAAAGTTTTGCTCTTCTAAATCACTGTTATCCATCCTCAAGACTCCCAAAAATGGAGCAGACTGAAAACTCTAAATAAACTGTTACAATATTAAATGTTTTTCAGCATTCAATAAAAGGACTCTGTTTTTGAGAATTATTGTTATTATCTACACTAGAGTCTTCCCCACATGTTACATTTATAATTTAAACCATATAAGATAGGACGGGGGAAAGTAAGATGAATGGGCAAGAGTGTTTCATTCGATGTTCCAAGGATTTACAGATGGGGATTCTCTTTCCAGAACACACAAAGATTAAAAAGATTCTTCAAATGAAGGAAATAGTTTGTTCTTGGGGTGAATATTCTGGATATAGAAAAGCATACAGCAACTTTCTCACCTTCAAAAAGGTTGATTCTAGAGGGTCACATGGAAGTGCTACTGAAAACAGTCTCATTACTGGGGGGTTAGTTCATTCAGCACACCCATTTCAGTCCTTCTGCAATATCAGCATCCCTGGGGATGCTATTCTGAAGAGAACAAAGAAACTGTGATGCTGCTGGCAGTCACAATTCTATGGAAGCAATCTTGCTTAATGAGCCGGAATTAGTTGGCTGTGTGTTTGGGTTGGGAGTGGGGGAAAGGATGGCATACGTCTAATACCAATTCAGCTTTGTTGATCGCCTTAGTTCTGGAGATGAGAAACCTGGAAGTTGGAAGGAGATAGCATTAAGAAAGCTCTTTTCATCTGTCTTAATTTGGTTTACCACTTTAGTCATAGAATCTTTTTTTGATCATTATTTTTTGGAATATGGAAATAGACAATAAAAATGAGAACTGCCTCTGCACATATGTAGAGGCCTCTCGGTAAACAGACTTAACATGGAGGTGAGGAGAGGAGTAATTTAAGGGTATTATTCTTTCCTGCACTCAGTCAAACCATACCTTTCTTCTTCCAAACCAAGTTCTATTTAAAAAATAAAATGTATGCTGGAAACAAAAGCAAGCTATACATAGTCCTGATTGTCTGACGTTCCATATTTTTCATTGAAGAACATCTTCATCTTTTGAAACCTAAGGAAAAGCAAGACTAACAGCTGAACTAGCATTTGATTTGCTGCTATTGCTGGAATGCATGTCTGCCATTTCAGATGCGAAGCTGGATTTCCACAACTAAGGGACCACCGTGATCCTCTTCTCTAATATTATATCTGTCTTTGCTATGAATAATCAGAGCCAGTTTCATATGTCTCATTGTACTGACTCCGAGGACCAAAGTGTAATTTCAGAAAGGCCTATAATTTTTGTTGTTGTTGTTGCTGTTGTAATTAAATGGCTTCAAGTGTATTGATTCAAAAATATATACAATAATCCATACAAATAGGCCCGTAATATAGCCTTATATTATACTAGGAGTCGGAGATTAAAGTATGGGAGTTATGGTAAACTGAATATATAAGTACATACTTAGTGTACATATTAAGTAAGTTTCCAGTTCTTAAGACATAACCAATCAATGCTGCCACATTTTAACCCTGACAGAAAAAAAATTGATTGGAATAGAGATAGGAAGGACAGCTTCACAGCAAATGAAATAAAGTGAATGCTTATTTCATTAATGTCCAGGTTGTTACATATCTAGGGTCTGAAAGCATGTGTTGGAGAATCAAAATCAAAACAGAACTTATCTTGCTGAAAATCCTAAACTTTATAATTCCATGACTTTTTCCCCAGAGGTAAAAGGATGAGCAAAAGCCAACCTGGTTTAGCGGGTAAGATATCAGGCTAGAAACCGGGTGACCATGAGTTCTAGTCTCACCGTAGGCACAAAGCTAGCTGGGTGACTTTGGGCCAGTCTTGCTCTCTCAGCCCTAGGACAGAGGCAATGGCAAACTACTATAAAAAATATTGGAATGAAACCCGCAGAAACTTGTCCAGGCAGTCATCAGGAGTCAATACTGACTCAAAGGATTAAAAAAAAACAACACTCAAAATATTCAAGAAACAATGGAGCTTCATTTCAGAGAGAAAAACAGAAAAATAAATGAAAATAAGTAAGAACCTATAGTCAAAGAACCACTGTGAAGTAGCCTGAAAATGCATTGGAGAAAATGCATAAAACACTTTGTTCAGTAAAGAAGAGAAAAAGCAGAATCAGTTGAGCCAGCTGAAACAGTATTTCTGAGGGAATCCATGTCACTAAAGACCACAGGCTATTCCTTCAACCACATGGTATTTTTGGGTCGGATCAAGGGGACAGAGAGGAGACAAGAAAGCATTCCAGCTATTCTAAACATTTGCAGAAGTATGTTGAAGAAGGAAAGAGGGAGGGAAAGGAAGGAAGGAAAGATATATGAATGTGTCTGGAAGCATGCCAAGCATTATTGAGATAGCAATTCCTAAAGCATGCATTTCTTTTTGTGTGTGTTCGATTTTTCTCCACTTGCCCCCCTTTCTGAAAAAACCAAAACAGACTTTTTGACAAAACCCACATCTTATGTTCCCATATATTCTTATATAATTCTATATCCATCTGTCAGAAATGGTGTAGAGTCTCCTGCTTGGGAGGGGGGGTTGGACTGGATTACCTACAAGGTCCCTTCCAACTCTGTTAATCTGTTAAAGAGGGGGTGTGTGTGTATGTGTATATATATATATATATAGTATGTGTGTGTGTGTGTGTGTGTGTGTGTGTGTGTGTATATATG